AGTGCTAAAGACAAGCGCACTACTGTGAGCTGTTTTCAGGTAAACTTGCAGCTTTGGGACAAGTGATTCAGACTCTGGGTCTGTGTCTGGAGCCAGACGGAGTGTCTGGCTCAGCAAGACAGGGTGCTGGAGTCCTGAGCTGGCAGGGAAAACAGGAGCAGGGGTAGTCTTTGCACATCGGGTGGCAGCTCCCAAGGGGGTTTCTGTGATTCAACCCGTCACACCATTCATGATTGCAAGCCTTTCTGAAGGCTGGGATTATAGTTCAGACAGACTCTATATCTGACATCAGTTTATAACAACTCCAACTCCCTTCTTGTAATTTTACACAAGCCCTCCAAATCCTCCCTATCACTCAAGATCCTCTACTAATGGTCAGTAATTCTGGCACCCTCTCTCTGCTGGGCCCTATTCAAATATCATCTGTAATTCCTAGGGCACCTTTTGCTGGAGGCAGCCACCAAAATGGAAGAAATCTGAAAAGAGTGACACCTGGTACCAATCAGAGAGACTGCCAGACCTGCTCAACTTTTCAACAGGCTGCTCTAAATTGCACTGGGGGTCCAAGCCAGTGCAAATTGACCACAGGATATGGGAGTTAAAGCCACATTCACCCATTTCCAGTTTCCCTTCCACAGTCTTACACAGATCACACCTTGACCGAACTGGAGAATCTGGTCTTTAAAGTACAGGGACTTAATTAAATCAGTGACTCTTCCAAAACTCACTCATTACTACTGCTGATAGATTAAAGTTTGCCAATCTGTTAACTCCAGTTATTTTCCTCAATCACTTGCAGCCAGTAATCCCAAATTACAGACATAAAATAATGATTGCTTAATAACGTATCTTTTTCTTGAACAACTGATCCTCCGTAACTTACAACATGCTAACTTTTTATAGTAACTGAGTCTCCTTATTACTCCACAGGAACAGTTCTGAATCTTAACCCTTATAAATACAATGAAACAAAATGAAGGCCTGCTAAAATATCAGGGGGGTTTAATCAGAATTTATCAGTAATGTTTTGAAACACTGCCATCTCGTGGCAGTTTTGAAATAAAACATGATCTACATTCGCATTTTTGTGTAAGTGCTCAAGTTTTTGAAATACATCAACTGATGTAAGGATTGAAAAAAACATTCAATATTGCCAACTCTCAGGATTTGATCAGGAGTCTCACAATTATCTGGTGTGTTTTTTTAAAGCCCCATATCCTGGAGTCAGATAATTACATGAAAATCTATGCTTTCATTTTTTTAAGTAATTTCTAGACCTCGTTGTAGAGGAGATCTTGAAAATGTGAACCAAACAGCACCCAAAGCGGAAGGCAAATAAAAATAACAGAAACTTTTTAAAAACTCAAGATTTTTAGCCTATCTCATCATTTTGGGAGGCTTGACTCATAATTTTTTAACAGGTTGGACTGGCAATCCTATTGGTGTCCAGAGACACTGCAGGTTCCATCATGGGTTTTTCCTGAAGGGGTAGGTTAAATCATGGCCAGAGCCAGGGATAAGCATTATAGGCACATGCCTAGAACTGCAGGGTTTATCTAGCCATCATGATTACAAAGACTGGGAATGTGATTTGAATGTTACAGATTCAGCAACATCTAAGCCTACAGACATGCTGAAACTATGGTTCTGAGAGGGGAACAATTACATGCACCTCAATGGGATGTTAATTTCAAGACCCACTGCTCCAGAGGGCCCCACCAGAGGACTGTGTGACAGGAGGGAAAGAGTGCTTTAAGCACAGCACATCCACATAAGCAGCTACACCATGACTACTTAGCTAAATAGTGAGGAGACCTGCACTGCCATTCCTGATCTTCCTAAGAGAAGGAGTGACAGTGCTGCCGTTCCCGAAGGAGTTATAAACTGGCCCCATGCCACTATTCCTGGCTCTCTGGGAAAGGAGGGGAACCCCTTTCCACCACCACTCCAAATGGGAATTGGGGCATGCCTCAGGCTTATTTAATCCAGTCCTGGGTTAAGTAGGGATGGTTCTAGGATCCCTGTTGGAAGGGGAGGGGGAGTGCAATGATTTCCTTCAGTTCTCTTGAAACTGCATCAATGTAGATAGAGTATGGTTCTGTTTTTAAATGTTTAATGTAAGAAACAGACAGTTTAGATAAATTAGACTAGACAGAGGCAATGCAAGCATCCACAGATAGCTCTACCGATATTCCTCAAACCTTATCTCGTGAAACCACCTCCTGTAATGAAAGGGTAGTGAATTCTGCATCCCAGTCTAAAACTTGGTCTCTCTGGTGAGACTGACAGCATGCCAATTGGTAGCACTTGTACTGAGTTTTTAGTGATATGGACAATTCCACCAGGAATTGGACTGAAACTACCAGTTATCAGGTAGCACAAATTTTTATTCTCTACTAAAGTGAGCTAAAGTTGAACCAGCCACACAGAGGTAAAAGGCTCTTTATCCCTTTAACAGTTCCCTGAGCTTTCTATTCCTCCTGTTCTTCCCTGTTGGAAAAAAAAATCCCACTTCATTAAAAAGAAAAATCAAGTTTTGGAAATTGTAGGAATTACTCTGGTCTTTATTCCCCAGGTCATTTTGACTCCCTGTTCAGTTTCCTTTCAGCATACATTCAAGATCCATTCTATTGCTATTGCCCACCAGACCAGACTTCAATAAATTCGTTTTCCTACACGGTTGCTCTAAAGCTTTTCAAAAATTCAAATAATCTGGAACAAAATTAGTTTATTCCTAAAAGACATATATCAACTTCAAAAAATGTGCTTTTTAAAAAAATTAAACATTTTTCATTGAAAAGAGAATTTAATGTTCATAATAGTTGATGTTAAGAACACTGGTTTGAAGCCCTCTCTATCCACAGAGTATCAGATACTGAAGTCTTACGCAAGTAAAACTCTAAATGAATGGAAGTGGAGTCTGTGTAAGGTCAGCCCCAGTTTAAATACAGCATAGGTAATAACATTTTAATTGCTTTTAAAATAATTTTTTTTAAACTTACATCTTCAAGGAGACAAACCGCTGTAAGATTTCCACAAAATGATTGACATGTAAATGCATCAATTGTGAAAACAGAAATCTGCATTCTTTCCATCTTTACAAAGTTGCTTTTAAAAGTTCTTTCAAAGAGCAGAATAAATAATCTTTCTCCAAGCACTAGCACAAATCTCAAAGTTAATGTTTCAGTAGATGTGCAGAAAGACTTGATAATCTGTATGCTATTAACTCTTTCTCATGACACCACTACATCTAAGATACACTTTTAGCCCAATTTCATGAGACACCAAGCTTTTTGTGCTTTCAGATTATCAGGCCCAGTTTTAAATTTAAAATTTGTTTTTAATCTTTCCATTTATATCTTTTGATATAATTGTATAGCCACTGATATTACTGTGTCCTTAGTATAATCTAGCCACATATCCATTGACTCCGGGCTCAACGGGAAGTGATCAATGGCTCGATGTCTAGTTGGCAGCCGGTATAAAGTGGAGTATCCCAGGGGTCGGTCCTGGGGCCAGTTTTGTTCAACATCTTTATTAATAGATGATGGGATGGATTGCACCCTCAGCAAGTTCGCACATGACACTAAACTGGGGGGAGAGGTAGATATGCTGGAGGGTAGAGATAGAGTCCAGAGTGACCTAAACTTGGAGGATTGAGCCAAAAGAAATCTGATGAGGTTCAACATGGACAAGTGCAGAGTCCTGCACTTAGGACGGAAGAATCCATGCGCACCGCTTCAGGCTGGGGACCAACTGGCTAAGCAGCAGTTCTGCAGAAAAGGACCTGGGGATTACAGTGAATGAGAAGCTGGATATGAGTCAACAGTGTGCCCTTGTTGCCAAGAAGGCTAACGGCATATTGGGCTGCATTAGTAGGAGCATTGCCAGCAGATCAAGGGAAGCGATTATTCCCCTCTATTTGGCACTGGTGAGGCCACATCTGGAATATTGTGTCCAGTTTTGGGCTCCCCACTACAGAAAGGATGTGGACAAAATTGACAGAGTCCTGTGGAGGGCAATGAAAATGATCAGGGGGCTAGGCACATGACTTACGAGGAGAGGCTGCGAGAACTGGGCTCGTTTAGTCTGCAGAAGAGAAGAGTGAGAGGGGATTTGATAGCATCCTTCAACTACCTGAAGGGGGATTCCAAAGAGGATGGAGCTCAGCAGTTCTCAGTGGTGGAAGATGACAGAACAGGGAGCAATGGTCTCAAGTTGCAGTGGGGAGGTCTAGGTTGGATATTAGGAAACACTATTTCACTAGGAAGGTGGTGAAGCACCGGAGAGATGCTGGAATCTCCATCCTTAAAGGTTTTTAAGGCCCGGCTTGACAAAGCCCTGGATGGGATGATTTAGTTGGTGTTGATCCTGAGATCTCTTCCAACCCTAGTCTTCTATGATTCTATGACTTTTGAGTTGTTCCAGGCCTGACATCAGGGGTGAATAGTTTTAGGACTATATTAAAGTGAATGAAAGAGAAAACAATTACAGCTTTGGCTCGACTAGGCTCTGGTTGAGCATAAGCTTGACCAATGCTCTCAGCCTACTCCTTAATAATGCTACAGACGGCAGAGCATGCAAGTGGTTGAAGGTGATGTTTGTGGCCAGGTGCAAAAAACCCAAGCGACACAATAATTACAAAGGCCTCAAGATGTTCTGTCTCCCCACCCAACCACAACACAAATGGCTAGAAAACGGGCCCCCATCGTTTTTATCCTGGGACATGCACTGACACGCCTGGCTATTGTCCCCACAGCAAACACCCCAAACAACCCCCGTGCTCCTGCGCTGGCACTGTATTCCGTGGCTACAATAAGCACTGCGCATAGCCGGGCTTTCCTCCCCCGGGCAGAGGTCATTTGAACGAGAGATCGCGACCTGCGAGGCGGAGGGTCCAGCCGCTGAAAGGGAAGATAGCAGGGGCGGGGGAAAGGTGCTGGCCTGCGCGGTGGGCAGGTCACGGCGTTCAAGGTGAGAGGGAAGCTGCCACCTGTGGGGCAGGAACAGGGGATTTCGCGCCTCAGAGCGGAACTGTCTGGTTCCGTTACAAAGGCACAATAGCCCTCACTACCGCTACCCTCCACCCAACAACTACGCATGCGCCACCTCCCTTCCCTCTATTCTGGAATCTAGCGGGCGCTACCTATGCTATTAAAGACACATGCATGCTATTGGCAGCCTAGGTCTTATAACGAATACCTTACGCATGCGCGCATACGCCTACTGTTTTGTAACGCATGCGCCCTTGCACCTAATAGCCACTCCGAGTTATTGTCGAGCAGTACAGTACCTTTCCCTTGTGCGTGCGCTTTTCTTCAGCCTGACTTAGGTGCGCATGCGCCATTCCTGGTACCTTGGACGTAAGCAGAGCTGGGGTTCCCGTGCGTAGCGTGGCTATCGCGATACTTGTGTGCCCGCGACGCCATCCTACCTGCCTGTTTCTGCCTTCGCTGCGTAGTTTGCCAAGCAAGCAACGCGCCCGTCGGTGAGAAGCGAGGAGGCGGAGGTTTCTTCGCTCCCCCCACCCTCCACCATAGAGTCTACCGTCGCCGCACATCGCGGAGAGTGTGAGGATCTCCCGGTGAGTACGGGGAGAAGGGCCCGAGCTCGCCGCAGCCCAGCCCGCCCGCCCGGTGTACCCGGAGGAGGTGGCTGCAGCAGTTCGGGCCCTGGGGGCGGACAGACATCTCCTCCCCAGAGCAGGGGGGCGGGCGAGCGTGTTGAGGGCGCTGAAGGCCGCGAGAACGCTCGGTGGGGGCGATGCGGCGGCGACTCTTCGCCAGGCCTAGCTCGGGCGCGGCCGCCATTTTGAGTGGTGGCGTTGAACGCGGCAGTGGCTGCGGGAGCCCGACTGCACGGCGGGGTGGCCTTTGAGGGGCTGTGGGTGGAGGCTGCGAGGTTCCTGGGGAGATGGAAGCAGGCGCCTGAGGGATCCCCTGGGGGACAGGCGCTCGGGAGGTGGGGGTGGCTAAGTAGCTGCGGTAAATGGCGCCTGGAAGCGGGCGGCGGGAGAGGCGCGCACTTGGCGGTAGTTAGTATTGCGGCCTGGCTGAGCGGCAGCGCGACCACAAAGGTGGGCGGCAACGGAGAGAGACGTCTGGGCCTGGCTGACGAAGAGGCGGGGCCGCGGTGTAACGCGTGCGAGGTCTCGCCATTGTCATCCCCGTGCCCAGCCTCGCGGCCTATTGTGAGACCCCCCCTGGGATTAGTGCGATCCGAGGCGCGAATTGCCTGAGTCTCCCGCTCTGTGGCGGGATCTGTCTCAGAGTGGATTAGTCGTCCCCCTTTCCCGGGTTACTGCAGCTTGCTCCCCAAAGACTTCCTCTGTCGGGATAATATTTTCTGCCTCACAAGGGTGTTGTGGGAATTAATCCATTAACAGACACACTGCGCTTGGAAGACAAAATTGATTTATGTAAGTGCTAATATTAGTAGTTACAGTATAATAGTAATAAAAGAATCATTTCTTTTGTTGACACAGTAGCATATATTTGCTTTTAAACTAAATCGTGTTTTGATGCTTAATTCATACAAAAGTCTATAATTTATAAACTGATATTCTCGATGTGTTCTGACAGTAACAGTAATAGTCTCGTTTGTCAAATTTGAATCATACTATAATATTAATGAGATTTTTTAAAAAGTGCCATTACTAGGGATCCCAGTTACAACTCAGCTTTCACTTTTATTCTTGTTCTGTGTCTACCCCAAATCTCAAGATAGTCCTTGTTTTCTATATTCCTCTTTTTTTTAATTTAAAGCATTCTGATCATTAGTAAAGTTATTCTCCTGTCTTCAAAAAAGGCCCATACAGCAGACCAAGTTAAAAATGGGACATAATTCTTGATTTAATTTGTCAAGAGTTAAGGGGGATTTTTTTGTATAATCTCAACCCCCATTAAGCAAGGCAAGTGAAGATGTGCATGCATGTGAGAGACCGTCAGACTGTAGAGGGATTGTGTACTAAGTTTTGTCTGCTTTGTGTGTTCAACTAAATCTCTGGCAGTACAGTACTCTGCCATATTTGATACCCTTCAGGATGTATCTTACATTCTGGAGTTGTACTATAATATGCAACAGTAATATAGCTTATGATGCATCATATTAGCTTATAACTGAGGTAAAATTAAATGTGTATGGAGTTGGGTTTTGGAGGGGGATTGGGGTAGCAATACATTATGATTCTAAAACACTGACTTTTCCTCCTTGTTTTTTGTAGTGTGTTGATTTAAGTAGCAAGATGGACTGGACTGGGAAACACAATGGTCCAAATGATACATCTAGTGATGGAACAGTACGACTTCGTGGACTGCCATTTGGTTGCAGCAAAGAGGAGATTGTTCAGTTCTTTCAAGGTATCTCTAGTATAGTCAAAGTACAGTGACTTTGTTTTTATGTTTCTATCACATCAGTGTTTCACATAGTTTAACTTTTAATACCCACTTTTTTGGATGGGAGGGGGAATCTTGTTTTAAACTTTAGATTGTTTTTCCAAACTGTGAATTATGCTCGTCTAATTAAAGTACGAATAAGTTTAGATTCAGTAAAGACTAGAATATGTCTAACTTTTAGTCAAGGTAGTAAATGTATCATGCATATTGAAATAACTTACTCTGTTTATTAGATTTTGGAGCACAGTTAAAATATTTGACTAGTAGTTATGATATCTTCAGATAATGTAGGCAGACTTATTCATGTGTAGCTTAAACAAAAAAAACACTACTAGAACAAATATGGCTAAACCATTAATTTTTAATGAAAAATCATTGGCTTGTCTTGTTGGGTGATGGGGGAAAACTAAGCTATTTTTTTGTTGTTTAGATTTGCATTAAGTATTTGCTACAGATGGGAATGTTTCAGCCTTTAACACTGTTCCCCTTGATGGGGTTATTTGTCCTTGGGTTAAAGGGTTGGAAATCGTGCCAAATGGGATAACATTGACGCTGGACTACCAGGGGAGAAGCACAGGGGAGGCCTTCGTGCAGTTTGCTTCAAAGGAGATAGCAGAAAATGCTCTGGGGAAACACAAGGAAAGAATAGGGCACAGGTGGGGATGGAGAGTTTGGGATGGTGTTAAATCTTTATTTTTGGGGGTTGTGGGTCAGTAATGCTTTTTTGGGGGGTGGGGACCATAATATTTTAACTGGCTATTTTAAAGAATTTATATTTATGATCCTAAGTTTAACTTGGAAAATACAATAGATTTGGGGGGTGGGGGAAGATAGTAATACTATGTAGTTTGCTAAAATCAGAATTTTGTCTCTTTGTGTAGGGTATTCTGTGATAAATCTATAGTCAGACATTTTTCAACTGTATTATTTCATATTGGGGGAACAAGTTTCACAGACTTTTGAATTTAATTTTTACAGTTAGAATTTTCAAGTAGTAAATTTTACCAATGTAAAGTTTTCTTTTGATACACTTAAGAATCTTAAGGCATTAGGTGAAACTTAAGTTGTATGGTATCTCTAGTCACTTTTTTTATTGGATTTTGCATCTAGTTATAGAAATGACATTTAAATAATTTTCTACAAAATCTGTTGTAATTTTCAAACAGCTTATGCATGTATTCTTATTTGTGCCTTGAAAATCCTCTCTTACTTAGGTATATTGAAATCTTCAAAAGTAGTAAGAGTGAAATCAGAGGATTCTATGACCCACCAAGAAGAATGATGGGACAGCAACGACCGGGACCATATGATAGACCAATAGGAGGAAGAGGGGGTTATTATGGAGCTGGGCGTGGAAGTATGTATGACAGAATGCGTCGAGGAGGTGGTGGATATGACGGTGGTATGTGTATCTAATGAGCAAAGGTTCTGTTGTCAGTTTCTTCATGTTTCTGACATTTTAGTCAAGAAATACAGAAATGGCAGTAATATCAGTACCTACTAGGTTTGGAGAGTGTTTTTGAAATCTGGATTGCTATCTATGGTGTCATTACCAAATGGGACCATGAAAATGATGACACGTGTTTATAAAGGTAAAGGAATGGTATGAGAACACATCAGGACATTATTCTTTTAATTGATGCAGGGAATTTTTCATTTACACTTGATGCTGAGAAATCCTACTATCATCAGCACATAATGCAAGTTACCAAAAGGTTGCAAAAATGTTATTGTTCATATATTGTATTATAATTTTGTAATTATAGTACATTCACACACTTTTCTTGTTAAATTGTACAGGATATGGTGGCTTTGATGATTATGGTGGATATAATAATTATGGCTATGGAAATGATGGCTATGACGACAGAATGAGAGATGGGAGAGGTAAAATCAAGAATTAAAAATTTTATACATAATGAGCTGTTTTAAAGGGTATTCCCAAAGAACAGATATTGGTCTCCTTTATACGAGAAGGAATCACCAGATTGTCAATTTAAAGTAAAAATATGTGGCATGTATGAGTGTTGGGGTTAAAATGTTTTTGTTACCAAGTCCCAGTCAAGAGTGGCAGTTGCATGATGAAAGTAGCAACCAATGGTAGTAATTGAATCTTCCCAGCCTTTCATGAGGTTTTCAAATATATTATTTTACAGGTATGGGAGGACATGGCTATAGTGGAGCTGGAGATGCAAGTTCAGGTTTCCATGGTGGTCATTTTGTTCATATGAGAGGATTGCCTTTTCGAGCTACAGAAAATGATATTGCTAATGTAAGTATGATAGGAAAAAGTTTCTCCTACTGTTGTGCTGTAGCTTTTCATGTTGCTGTTTCTCCCAGACATAGCTATTTTTATTCATAGTTCTCCGTGTTTTTGTTCTAAGTCAGCAATTAATCTCGTTCAATCTATTGTAGTTTCTCTTGAAGCGGAAACAATTGCTTATATCTGCAGCAACACAACACTAGACTCACAATTTAGGGTTGGGATTTTCAGAAGTATTGGAGACAGGCACCCAACTTTCACTAAAAGTCAATGAGTGATGGGTGCTTAACTCCCTTAAATGCTTTTGAAAATCCCATCCTTATGCATACAGTTGTTCTTTTGACTAGAAGTTTGAGAAAATTATCAGGTTTATGGCTTAGCCATCTGTCCAGTCCCATTGGTTGAGATTTAGTTGCAGAAAGTGTTCTTGATATGAGAGCTCCTAATTAAAACTTTTCAACATTATTAGAATGTTACTAGCATACTATGAAACAGCAGAAATAATTAAAACTGAACCGTTCTTAAAAATTGGGGGGGTGGAGAGGGTTGTGATGTGTTTCTGACATCAGATTTACAAACCAGCAAGTTACTAAAATTTTCCAGCCATAAATGAAAACTGTTTAGGTTCTACTTCAGCTTAAGTGGTACCACTTTCTGATTACCCTCTGGCTTCTCTCCACACTACTCTTGTTATCCAACAGCAGTTATATCTCAGTCTATTTAAGAGAGATGCTTCTAGCCATTCAAAAGGTGGGATATCCAGCCTGTATTTAGGTGATGTAAAGCAATTTTTTTCAGTTCTAGCAGATTTGGAAATAATTGCAATTTTAAGGCTGGAAGCAGCCCTCATCTATAAGATGATCTCTTGTATAACTGCCGTAGAGTAATTCCTGTATCAAGCCCAATAACTTGTAGTTTGAAATACAAAATATTTTTTCAAAAGATATGCAAGCTTGATTTAAAGACTCCAAGTGACTGATAATCACTACATCCATTGCTAAATTGTTCCAATCCCGATTTGGGGGAGGGGGGGCATGCCTCAAATGCAAAATGAAAACATAATTTCAGCTTCTGTCATTGGATCTTTTTATGGTAAAGAACTTTGCTATAAAGCTTTGGTGTAGAGCACACGTGTGTAGGACTGGTAGTTTGCTTGATGTGTGATCCTAAAATTATTACTGAACCCATGGACTGGTGGGAGTGCCTGGTCCAAAACACCTTTCATTACTTATTCTGTACTTTGGCTTTCATGTGGCACAGGCAACAACCATGATTTGGCTTACCATATTTCTCAATTTCCCAGATACGCACCTTACCCAGGTATCTTTTGTTATGCCCCAGTTCTGCAAACACATGCTTAAGCGTTTGCAGGTTAGGAGCTTTAACAGTACACTAACATTTTTACAAGTTATCAGTGTGCTACTTAAAAGGTTTCAATTATGAAAGCATTTACTTAATTGAAACTTTTATTTTCCCTCAAATGTTGTTCTCCCCTGGATGGAATGCCATAGTCTTATCAGACCAACTCAGACTGACCATGTTGCTCTTTAACTGCTGCTTACGGAGAATATAAACCTAAAGAAGTCACAGTTCTACCAATTCACACATTCAAGTACCCTTTAGCTTATTAAATTTGATTCAACTACTGTTCTACAATATTTAACTTCAAAGAATTGTTATACTAATTATACCAATCATGGGAAATGTCAAGTGCAAAGGACAAGATCCATGAGTCCAGAGTTCTATTTTTGGCTCTATTGACTTATTTTGTTTCCTTTAACAAATCACTTACCTTTCTGTATCTAGTCTACCTGTTTGACAAATGGGATATTACTTAGCCATCTTACAGGTAGAATCTTACTTTTTGTAAAGGTCCTTGGATAAATCTTACTATGATAAGATGAGGTAGTATTCATAGAGAATATAGTCTTCCCTAGAAGGGGAATTAATCTGTTCATACTCTAGGATTAAGAAACATTGGACTGATTGAGAACATTAGAACCAAAAATAATTCAATAATTCCAAACATTTTCTTTTAAACTGTCACTTACCATAATGAGCTCTTTAAAATCGTAATTTAAATTGTTGCTAAAGCTGTTTAATACAATGCTTGAACATTATTTTGATATTAGTGAATAAACATTGTTAATTGGTTAATTTTTTAGTTTTTCTCACCACTGAATCCTATAAGAGTTCACATTGATATTGGGGCAGATGGAAGAGCAACAGGAGAAGCAGATGTGGAGTTTGTAACACATGAAGATGCAGTGGCTGCCATGTCTAAGGATAAAAATAACATGCGTAAGTATTACCAGTGTGTGAACTTTAACCATTCAGTGACCAGCCCTAATTAGATTCCTAGGTCTTTTGTGCATATACCAGATGAGAGCTGTCAGTGGGATGTTGTAAACACTTAAGATGAAACTGACAGCATGCTCTCAGCTCACTTCTTACTTCCCCCTGCCTTCTGCTTTCTCTATGAAATATGTTTTATTGGCAGTAGGAAGGAGAAGCAGTTCTTAAGGTGCTATGAACACGACTAGAGCCTGCTAGCCTGAGGCATAGTGGAAGTAGAGAGTGGAGGCAGGCTCTTGCCTTTAGACACTTCACATCTGCAGATCCTGAAAGTTCCTTTAAATATCTGAGCTTGCACCTAGGCTGCATTGTGGTGTGGCTTGATTTTCCTGTTTATTTCTTTCATGGCTTGATTTCACATTAATAGCTTGTGAAAAATAATATCGAAAGTCTGAAACCTGTTTACTCACAAAGCATGTGCAGCATATGCTGCCCTGCCAGTATATATCAGCTCTGGCATGGGATGACCACATGCAGGGTAAGAGATTTCAATGTCTACTCAGTTAAGTCACTGTCTTTTTGAGACTACGAATAAGGGTGCAAATTGTGACAGTAGTAATAATGAATATGGACAGTTATCTACTAGGAACTAATCTAACACTGACTTACCTAAAATACTGAGTAGCTTTTTTTGTTTGTTTTTAATTTCTTAAAAGAACATCGATATATTGAACTGTTTCTGAATTCAACTGCTGGAGGAGGCTCGGGAATGGGAGGCTATGGCAGAGATGGAATGGGTATGTATGGCTTCAAATTTTAGTTCATTAGCAAATACAAACTTGATCTTATTATAACATTGCATGTTTTACCTTCCAGATCAAGGAGGTTATGGCTCTGTTGGCAGAATGGGAATGGGTAGCAATTACAGTGGAGGATATGGTACTCCTGATGGCTTGGGTGGATATGGTAAGTAGTGGTTTTGTTTTTAATTAAGTGAATTAGCTACATGAGTCCTACTGTCACTTTGAAAGTTTTTATGTGGTTTTAAAGTGAGAACTTGAAATTTTAGAATTGACGCATTTTTAAAACTTGATTTTTATTTATTTATTTATTTATTTTAAACCAGAGGTGATGTCTTCATTATAGACCACCTTTCCTCCCACTGGTGAATGAATCAAACTTTTCTGGCAACTAGCAATTGTTTTCACACAAAGAAATATTGGGAAAAGGAACATTTTTAGCTGATTTTCAGTGCAATTTAATAGTTTAAAAACAAGGGTTCATATCATCTAAGCAGGTTTCAGTGAATCAAATGGAGAACTACTTCTGAAACTGGTAACTGTTCAGAGAATTGAGTACATAATTAAATCAATTATTTTGCAGGTCGTGGCAGTGGAAATAGTGGTGGATACTATGGGCAAGGCAGTATGGGCGGAGGTGGATGGCGTGGAATGTACTGAAGAGTGACCTTGCTTCTACAGAATATCCTGGAAGAAACAGTATCTGGTCTACTAGACTTTCTTACAAAATTTAATTTCTTTTGTATTTTAAGAACTTTATAATGACTGAAGGAATGTGTTTTCACAATATTATTTGGTAAGCAACAGATTGTGATGGGAAAATCTGTTTTCTGTAGGTTTTATTTGTTGCATACTCTGACTTTAAATAAATTTTTTATATTCAAACCACTGATGTTGATACTTTTTATACTAGCTACTCCTAAGGATGTATTGCATATTCAAGAATGCATTTGGTTTAAGATGTACTATTGGTTTATTAAAGGTGGTTGTACTGTAACACTGATTCAGTTCTCTGTAAACATGGTATAATTGAATCTTAGATTAAAGATACACTTGTTAAAAGGAATAAGTTAGAAAAGTAGATTAGTTTGGTTTTGGTTACAATCTATTCTAAATTGTCTTTCAAGTATATACTATTAAAAAAAATCCCACAACAAAATACTAGGTTACAGGTATGGAGGCTAAAAGTTACAAATTTGGCTTCCTTGTTTTTCATGTCAAAAGCACTATCTTCAAATGCACAATTGTATAGGTTGGTTGGTGTCTGTCTGATCTGTGTGTCCATAAGAATGGGCAACTCAGTTCCTCAGTTTGCTGATCCTTGCACTAATATCTAGCAATTTTCACATTTACTGATAAATCTTCGTCTTTTTTACTTACTAACCAATTTGTCGTTAGTTAAATTACCTTCAACTATTACTAAAGTTTCCTTTTCCATATGAACACAACACAAAAATAAATGGGACAGCGTACTAGTTACATTAAACTATATCTGGTTTTAATATACTTAATACCCAAAACATGTCAGAATATTAAATGGCATTAAGTCAAATTGTGCACGGGTCTCATTTGCCTGTCTGTTCAGAAAAGAAAATACAAGTAGTTTTGCTGCTGAATAGCTGATGATAGCCTGCATCTATTCAAAATTTGGCAGTTGCTTTTTTACTGAAGAAAGGATTCATCATTTTAGGGAGTTATTTGGCATCCAAATACCCCTTCAAATGAAAGCAAACATATAAGACTAATACTTGTCAAAATACTTTCACAAAACCCAACAACATCTTGGTAATGTTTTTGTGCATTTGTGACATGTAAAATGTTTGGAACCATGTTGTTTGAAGACACTAACATACATGATGTATAATGAAGAAAAAGGTATTTCAGAATTCTCAGCCACTGTGCTCTTCCAAATTTTAACTGCTTGTCCTTAAATGCCTCCCTCTAATTTGTCAAATGTGCTCTTGGTTATTGAAAGTTTGTCACCTGTTTTTGCAAGTAATGTGTTTGTAATAAATGTGTTATTGTGGGAGACAATAGAATGGAGTTTATTTTGCTAGGAAGTGTGTGTGTCAAATTAGCTTAGGTCTACAAAACATCTGAGAGAATTAAAATGGGAGTATCTTGTTCAGTGTAGCTACAGCTGCAATAGTAGTATTAACCTTTTCCACTCCTCCCCTCAACTTCTTCCTTATCAGAGAGCAGGTCCTATGATATGAAAAAATTAAGCTGAATTTCTATTTTTGATATAGAGAGCAGATCTCTTGAGTCACAATCCATCTGAAACTTGTGCTCTGGACTTTTTGAGGGTGGGGTGAGGTCAAACCTTAAGTGCTGAGTGGCTGCAATCAAAGTGGTGTGGGTGAGGAAAAGGCATGCTAGTTAGATACTGGAAAAAGGGAAAGGTGCTTTGTTTGATCCTAAATATTCTAGACCAGCAGTTCTCAAACTGTGGGTTGCAACTCTATTGTAGGAGGGTTGCTAGGGCTGCTTTAGAGTGGCTGGGGCCCGGGGCCCAGGGCCAGAACTGAAGCCTGAGCCCTACTGCCAGGGGCTGCAGTTGAAGCCTGAGGGCTTCGGCCCTGAGCAGCGAGGTTCAGGTTACAGGCCCCCTTTGTGGGGCTGAAGCCCTTTGGCTTTGGCCTCCTCACCCAGGGCAGTGGGGCTTGGGCAGGCTAAGTCTTTAGTCCCCACTCCTTGGGCCACATAATCATTTTTGTTGTCAGAAGGGAGTCGCAGTGCAATGAAGTTAGAGAACCTCTCTTCTAGACTGAAGTGAGCTTCATCTGTTGACACGATCCCTTCCTTGTACTGAAAGTAGTAGTAGCATAGGACTGAACTAAACTGCACCACTCCATTAGCAGAAAGCCCATCTATCTTTCTATTGAGGGGGAGAGCCATTTAGGATAAAGCTAAGTAAGCTTCCCTCAGTCATAAGTAGAAAAGCTGGATGGGTCTAGTTCTGGGTTTGGACAAATATGCCTATAACTAAGGACCTCTTTAAATCATAATTTCAGGGATATGGAAATTGTGAAAATATCCCCCCAACTACCCCTTTTTAATATTTGTCCCTTGAAACTAAATTTAATTGTAAAATTCCTTCAGTGCAAATTCAATATTTTGCCCTTTAGTTATGAATGTGTTTTTTTTTTTAATCTTGATTTACACAGGCTATAACTATTGCACATGTAGTGAAAGAGACCTATTGAATATTAGGTGCATACATATAAAATAGCTGAAGTTGTGCATCTCCTTGCTTCGTTCCTAGCTTCTGCTTTTGAAACATGGTGGATAGCTCTTATAGAAATCTACTTAAAGAGCTTTTCCATACAACTTGTTGCACTGTGACTTAACTCTTATGTAAAAGGTCCAACTGCCAAAGGTAAGTGCATTCTGTTACATTGCGGTAGCAAATGGTGTCTTTTGTGATATGAGGGAATGGAATGAGATCAACGCATTGCCATCTACCTGGCCTATTTTCAGTCAGTGGGTCACTACCATCTGATACTGAACTAGAACTGCTTATCTGAAGTTTAATTATCTGAAGATAAGTTATTAAAGTGAGTAGAAATAAATACACAAGGTGGGTGAGCTAGTATCTTTTATTGGGCCATTGTCTGTTGATGACAGACAAGCTTTCAGGCACACAGAGCTCTTCCTCAGGTCTGGGAAATTACTTACAGCCTTTATGGTAGCAACACCTTCACGTTATGCCAATAGGTTCAATGTTAAATCTGAAATATCTCTCAGGGATAAACAGATTTCAAATAGAAAAGCTACACCATCTCTTCCATGATAAACCTCACAGCAGGGGGCAACCTATGAAGTTAATAGATCAGGTGGAAAGGCTAAGCATTGGCAAGTGACCTGATCGTATTCAAGCACAGAGAGCTATAAACATGGGCAGCAGCTCTCCATCCTTAGCTAGTTTTAGTTGGTAAAAGATACAACTTTTTGGTCAAAAATATCTTGCAGAACTAGTTACTTAACAAGATAAGTAATTGCTCTTTACTCAAAGCCATCCAGAAAAAGAAAAAAGCATCACAAAAATGTAGGGCTGGAAGGGACCTCAAGAAGGCATCAAGTGCAGCCCCCTACACTGTAGCAGGACCAAGTAAACCTATTAAGATGGATTTCTAATGTTTGAGATGGTGTTATCCACATGCTATTTTAGTATAGTCCTAAATCAAGGCAGCATGGGTTGGGCAATATAAAGAGGGTAGTGGTTTTATCTATTTACAAAGAAATGGCAAATACTGCACTTTCTTCCTTAAAGCACTCTAAGAAACTAGTTTGTGCTATAAACTTTTTCTCCCCTACAAAAATTTGGAAACCTTAAAGTTTCAGTTATAGAGGTTTAAGCAGGAAGGCAGTGCCGTAATTAAGCAATATTGAAATTTTAGTAAGATACATACTTTCTTATTTTAAGATAATTTACATTAGTTCCCAATTTATTTGATTACATCTCTATAAAAAATTAGATTTAAAATTTTTATTAAAGCTAATGTTAAATTATATAATACATTGAGGAAAATGTCTGTACATATGAGTATAGTGCTTAGATTATCTACAATACAGTTGTTTTTAAAGTCATAGGATACATATAGTGGATAATCAGCAATAACCCAAATTGAGGTGAATGAATTTAAAGAATACAGTTTAGATATCTAGCATCCATGCATTTGGGTACATTACTCATGAAAAAAAGTTATACAGAGTTGGTAGCAGAAAGAAAAATATATCAATGAGTGAAGATTGTCCCTCAGTAATTGAAAATTTAGGATAGGTTGTTAATTTAGAGAGAGAAAAAAAAGTCCATGAGAGAACTATGTTACTTTCCTGACTGCTTCTCATCGGCACTCCAGCTCATCCCTCCTGGGATTGCTGATGTCCAGTGATGTATTCTATGTAAATACCCCTTGACCACCTGATGGCGTCTGACGACGTGAGTTGCCGCATCAGCCAAGCGTAGTGTTGACCGACTCCACGTTCTCTCACCACTGGCTCGTTACTGGGGTTCCACGCGCCCAGGGCTCCAACGATCAGTGCATGAATTTGGACCTCATAGCTCCTAGCTCTCAGGGTATCAGCCAGAGGGGTGTATTTCTCCAGCTTTCGAGATCAGGCGTCATGGAAAGCTGGGGTACTATTAAACCAGTGCAAATCTACATACTAGGCCAAATCCTGCTCACTTTATTCACGCAGTCCCACTGCTAGGTAGTACATCCAGGAATAAAGTGAGCAGCATTTAGCCCATTGTGTGACGCAATATTAAGACAAAATATTTTAATAGTGGAAACTGTCCAGTGTTCAAAATACTTAAATAATAGCTTATGTGCACAGTTTGGTTATGTCATTTTATTTCTTCAAACAAATTACATGTTTACAAACATTTGCATTATTTTAATTTACAAAACTCTCAAAATCTTTAAAAAAATTCTTTACAAAAGCTACATAAGCAATTACAATTAAATTCTTGGCATGATCTGTAGAACATTAATTGCATGACTACTCTCAAAAGCTACAGCTAAGCTTTTTATGTGCAAGAATGATTTATGAAGCTGAGTTAAAAAATGGAATTGTTTCAAAACATCTTGCTCCTATGATAGGAGCAATCCAAATCTGTGGATAAAGGAAATAATTGGGCTGATAACTCTTCGGGTTTCCACTGGCCAGTGCAGATTTGGGGGAAAGAAGAACAAAATTAGAGCTAGAATAACAAATGGCTGGGTTAAATGGAAAGAGATAGGAAGTTACCAGTAAGCTTAAAAGAAGTCTAGAAAACAGTGGTTCATCCAGTTTTAGTGTATGACACTTGAGTGTTGAGCAACAGCACTGTTCCACAGAAATGCAAATCTTGAGATGGATGAGTGGTGTAAACAAGAAAG